AGCGCAGCAGCAACCAGGAAGTCGGCGCGCTCTAGTCGAAGGGAGAGAGGAGGGAACCGCCGCCGCTGCCGCTGCCGCCGCCGCCACCCTCGGTCGCCAGCGAGTGGAAAGAAAGAGGAAGCACCCGAAGAGAAAGCAAAAGCCAGCTGGGGAAGCGCTGGCTGCTTGGCCGGCTGCTCGCTCGCTCGCTCGCTCGCCTCTTCTCCGCCTGGCTCCCGCTCTCCCGGAGCATCCTCCTTTCCCCGGGTGGGCTTCTGCCTCCCTCGCCGTCTGCTGCTGCCATGGCCCAGGAGAACGGCGAGGACAGCTCCTCCTGGAAGAAGCAAGCCGGCGACATCAACAAGATCTTCGAGTTCAAGGAGACCTTGGGGACGTAAGTCTCGCCACCCTCTTTCCTTTTTCCTCTCCTTACACTCCCGCCATCGCTCGGGCCGTCCAGCTTGGGTACCAGCCCCCCCCGGGGGGGAGGGGGAAAGGGAGGCGAGCGGTCGTTCTCTGGTCCGGTCTTTTCCTTCTTCGAGTTCGAGGCTGGTGCTGGGAAAGGGAGGCGGTGGGTGCTGCTGCTGCTTCCTCTTCCTCCTCCTCCTCCTCTTGCGACGGAGATAGCAAAAGAGCGCCTCTGTCCTGTTCCAGCAGCATCTCTTTGCGCCAAGCAGAAGCCGAAGAAGGAACAAAAGGTGGGAAAGTTACCGCTTTCCACGGCTGTGCTTATGTGTGAAAAACCGTGCATTGCAAGGTTGCTAATTCCGCCCTCCGCTAAAGAGGCTCCCCTCTAGTTGCCCTTAACAGGGTGGATGGGGGGGGAACCCCAATCGCTCATAACTTTATCTCCTGGAAAGGACAGACCCTTTCTCAGTTGCACAAAAATCTATGGGACAGGCATCCCTTAGTGTTATAACCTCTGCACCTCAGAAAGCCCAATACAGTACTTTATTTATTTCATTTATTTATTGGATTTCTGTCCCGCTCATCTAGACCAAAGGTCTACTCGGTGCGGTTTACAAATTTAAAACAATAAAACGAAAAACATATATTTCAACTGATCCGCTCTCCCTCCCCCCTTCAGGTATGTGTTACAGAAATGCAATAAGTCGGCAGAGCACACACTTTTAGCAGTCCTGCAGACTTGCCCTACAAATCTAATGCAACTGAGCAACCCCCCCCCCCAAAAAGACCCTCCTCTTCAGACTACCCCATTGGAAGACCATAGAAGAGCATCTTCAGAAAATAGTTGCTACATAGTGTTCTGCAAAGCTCTATAGCCTTGAAGACAGGGAAGCTTGCGGTGCTTTAGAAACCCTTGCATGACACCTGCTGTGAGTAATCATACAGTGCAGAGAGCAACATTAAGCCCTCTTGTGAAGTTCCTGTAAACCAGTGATAGAATCTGAGAGATTAAGCATCTCACCTCCTCACACTTGTCCTTATTTTAAAATTAGAGGGGCTGACAATTTCAGGTCATCTGTGGCCATACATAAATCAGTTTTTATGGAGAGGTAAAACATCTGAGCCAGTGTACTTTGGTCATATGCCCAGTACAATGTTTGTTACATTACAGAGTGTATTTGAGAGAATAAGCTGATATGGGTGTTCTGATATGTTTGTTTTTCAAGTCCACAATGTACATAATAAAGAGATGGACGTAATATCTATCTGCGATAGTGTGAAGATGAGATGCTTTTGTGGCCACATGATTTCTGTTTAGAAGGGAGTATGCAGTAAATAAATGCGCATTATGATTGTAGATAAAGTAAGGGTATGATGTAGTACATTAGAGATGTATGAATATAAAAATGAATATTCAGTGCGAGTTTCAGAGAAAAATCTGTGTCAGTTTGTTTTAGCAAAAATAAGAATCCTGTCACTTATATTATTATGGCATAAACTTTTGTGGGTCAGTGATACCTGATGAAATTGGCAAAATATTATGCCACAATAAATGTGCTGTTCTATAAGGTGGCAAAAGATTTTTGTTGTGTTTATTCCACGTTTGTGAGAAGACAACTGGGATTGTCAATATATGTCTGCAGCAGTGTTAGGCGACTTTGAACCTCTTCCAAACTTTTGAAAGGGTGCTATTGAACTGTTCCGTGTTTCTTCATGAACTTGATCACAAAAAACTGAATCAATTTTAATTGTAACAACACCTACTTTTTGGTAAAAAGTGCACCCATGCTGTCTAGTCGCAATAGAGAGAGAGAGTCGGGTACACATATTAGTAGAAACGGAATTTAAAAGTATGAAATAAGTATGGTTTCACTCCTGTGCTTTCCTGTAAAGCTGACAGCAGAGTCTATTCATAGAAAAAAGCTGAAATAATCAGAGTGGATTGGATCTATTTTATCCAGTGTGTCACTGTAGCTTAACTGTTGTGGATTGACTATTTCCCTCTCTTTATTTATAGAGCCTGTATATAAAGATTAGCAAAATTGAAGGTTGTGTTGTTGTTATTTTAAAAAAAATGTTAAAATCAATATGTTTAGATAGTTTAAAGAAACAAGGTGTGATAGAAAAATGGTTTGTAGGTCTGCAAAATGTTTTCTTTTTATATGTGTTTTTTAAAAAATGTTCCTGTTGCAGATGTCTATGCTTTATAGGAAAGGTCAACATGGGCTGCTATGTAGCTGTTGATTTTAGATTTGTAAACACATCTGCCTTGGATATGAACTGCAGCTGTATTTTTCACATGCATGCCTCTTTAGGCATGATAGACGGGATGGTCATTATAGCTTTTATGTCCCTAGCTACACAATGCACTTTCAGAAACAGTGCGCTGTTAGAATGCGCTGTTAGAATAATATCATTTATGTAATATTTCATTTCTGTTTCACTTTGTTTCCTATGAGAGGTTTTACAAAAATATAGCATTGCAATAGACAAGCAACATTAATTGCCAAAATGTGAGTACAAAAATCAAACATTTAACATGGAAGTGGTTAATGTCTGGATGTGGATCGGAACTGAGCAGGCATTGGTTGTAGGTAGCCAAGCATACTTTACTTATTGTTGTTTTTTCAATTTTTATATCACCCCATAGTGCTAGAGCACTCTAGGTGGTTTACAACATAATTATGCAAGCAACATCCCCCTCCCCCTCCATCTGGGTACTAATTAATCGACTTTAGAAGGATGGAAGGCTAAGTCCACCTTGAGCCTGTCTGGATCATTATAATTAATTGAACTACGTGCACTCAACTTTTTGGACATTATTCTTACTCTTCTGCTTCTTTCTGTTTACTATATCTTGTTGTATCAATATTCTGCAGAACAAAAACATTTTTTCATACTGTCATAAATATGTAATACTTTGTATGAGAGCATGTAAAGTCATCAAATTGTAAGTCATAATAAGGAACTCATTTTCCTGATGGTTACATAATAGAATTCTGTGTCTCTGTGTAAATAGTCTTTAAGGCAAACCACTCAGAATAAATTTGTTTGCTAAAGATGGCCCAAAGAGCATATAAATGTGGGAGCCACTCCTTTGCTCTTTTCTTCATGATAATGGCCATCAACAAATACCATGTGATGAATAGGCAGATTGGTACAAATGGTTTCCTGTTGTTGTTTGGTCGTTAAGTCATGTCCAACTCTTCGTGCCCCATGGAACAGAGCACGCCAGGTCCTCCTGTCTTCCACTGCCTCCCGGAGTTTGGTCAAATTCATGTTTGTAGCTTCGATGACACTGTCCATCCATCTCATCCTCTGCCGTCCCCTTCTCCTCTAGCCTTCACATTTCCCCAACATCAGAGTCTTTTCCAGGGAGTCTTCTCTTTTCATCAGATGGCCAAAGTACTGGAGCCTTAGCTTCAGGATCTGTCCTTCCAGTGAGCACTCAGGCTTGATTTCCTTGAAAATGGATAGGTTTGTTAGTCTCCTCCATCACCACAATTCAAGAGCATCAATTCTTCGACAGTCAGTCTTCTTTATGGTCCAGCTCTCACTTCCATACATCCCTACTGGAAAAACCACAGCTTTGACTATACGGACCTTTGTTGGCAAGGTGATTTCTCTGCTCTTTAAGATGCTGTCTAGGTTTCTCATCACTTTCCTCTCAAAAAGCAGGTGGCCATGATCTTATTTTTTTTTATATTGAGCTTTAGACCATTTTTGCGCTCTCCTCTTTCACCCTCATTACAAGGTTCTTTAATTCCTCCTCACTTTCTCTCATCAAAATTGTATCATCTGCATATCTGAGGTTGTTGATATTTCTTCTGGCAGTCTTAATTCCAGTTTGGGATTCATCCAGTCCAGCCTTTTGCATGATGTATTCTGCATATAAGTCAAATAAGCAGGGAGACAATATACAGCCTTGTGGTACTCCTTTCCCAATTTTGAACCAATCAGTTGTTCCATATCCAGTTCTAACTGTAGCTTCCTGTCCCACGTATGGGTTTCTCAGGAAATAGATAAGGTGGTCAGGCCATTTCTTTAAGAACATGCCATAGCTTGTTGTGATCCACACAGTCAAAGGCTTTTGCATAGTCAATGAAGCAGAAGTAGATGGTTTCCTGTACCTTGTGCCAAAGAAAATTACTACAAATGACTACTAGGTCACCAGTGTAATTAACCATTATGTGTTGGTGTTGTACTTTATGATATGTGGCTACAAGGCAATATTTAGCTATATAATTTTCAGTTAGGAGATTATGATGTTAGTGGTGTATTTTATAGAACATTTGGATTTAATTTTATGAATGAAAAGAGAGACTGAGACAAACTTGGTTGAAAAATACTGAGTCATAGAAAGCTGCATTCTGTGACCTGCATAAAATCATGCATTTTAATTCGAATTTCTTTAGTTGGAGTAATCTATTTTGTATTTCTGCCTAATTACATGTGGGTTTTTATGGTCAAAGGAAGAAACAAAGAGGAAACCCAAACCTGCCTTGCAATTGGGAAAATTCTTAATCTAACTGTCTGGCTTTGCCACAGGTTGACTTCATGCTTTCAGATATTTTTTGCTGTCATGAAGGCTACGACCTTGAACCTTTCAATGAGCTAGAGTCTGTATCCAGTACCAAAGTATGTGGTTTTCCGAGAATATTAATGACATGAATATAGGTAGGTGCATACCACACTGTGATTATGGCTACTGTTGTTAAAACCATAACTAGCAATTTTGGTAGCTTAAGCTAGCAGTATCATCTCCCAACCTGTACCAATAACTCCACCTTGCAACATCCCCCAAAAAGGAAGAGGATAGTTTGGTGCCCTTCCCCTAAAACAGAAAGTCTCTCCTGTTAGGAAAATGAAAGTGAATGGAACTGGAAACTGTCTTCAGGTTAAAATACTGCCAGCAACTTGGGACCCTCTTTGTACAGGTGGTAGATAAGTATATATAACTTTTAAATTAAAAATGTCCATGTTCAA